TGTGTTAGCTATTATAGTTAGCAATATATTATTGATATGAAGATAGATAAGGAAACTGAGGCTCAGAACTGTTAAATGCCTTCCTTAGGATCATGCAGTTATTAAATAATACAGCTGGCATATATGAACCCATAATGGCACACATAGGGCTCCCAATGCAGCTGTTAATAAGAACTTGGACCCTCCAAAGTACCAAACACAGAAAGATGCCGTGTTATATAGAACACTATGCAGAGTATGATCTCATTTAAGAAGATTTTTAGAGTTAACTGCAGACTTCTCCTTTGCTGTCTCTGAACCTTGTATCTCCTTCTGTCATCTTATTTTTCCTCTTTCTCTCTCACTAAACAACGAAGGGCAGGAAATTCCTATTGCATAGCACAGGGCTAGGCACACAACACTCAGTATTTGTTAAAATGATAAATAGTATTGAACCTTTTTTAAAAAAAGTAATAATTAACTTATTTATTTAGTGGACAACAGATTATAATAGTAAATAATATATAAATGTAGTAAAAAAAAATCAAACTACAAAAAATTGTTCAGAGGAAAATAATACTCTATCCACCTCATTTCTCAGACATCCGGCTTTTAACCCAAGAAGAAGCCACGGTGAACAGTTTCTTTTATATCCTTCCAGAAATATAGAATTGCATTGAATTTTAGTGCAATTTAAATTTACGGCCAAAGAGTACACCTGAGGGGGCTGGGACAAATGCTTTATAAAAATTTGGTTAGTACATTTTCTTTCCTGAGAAATCACCAATTTCAAATCCATAAAAATGACAACCTAAATGTAATTTTTTTTTTTGTGGCAAGACCAACAGCAGAGAAAGGTGCTAGGGTGTTCGTGAACTCCTTCAGGTAAAACCACCATCCGATTCCATGCAATTCTATTTACAGATTCCCGACCTTGAAGTTAATCTTACAACCCATTTCTTTATAATTCTGTGGCCTGAGATTTCAGTTTTATTGTGTGATTCGTTCCCTGGGCATGGAAAGAGTCGGTATTCTATGACTTGGTCATGACAAAGGTCTTTCTCTTTCTTTTGGTGAGATGTCTGAGGTCACCGTTACGCAACTTACCACAGTATGAAAAGAGAAAGTGCTTCCTGGAGGAAGACAGACAGTAACCACTTTTCTCCTCAGTGTGGTTTTTGTCAGACAGACGCCTGCAATTGCCCTGGAAGATACTTTCTTTAATACTTTAATAATGCACTCACTTAAAGAGACCTAATGCTTGGCACTGCTTTTTCTCGGGTTGCTAACGTGCGCCTGTCACTTTTGTCATAGCATGGCACATTTAGTCTTCGACATGGCTTAAAAATGACATTAGAAATGGCTTTCTTAGAAAAGACATCAAATTGCACAAGTCTGTGTCTTGTAAAAGTGGTACTGAGATATTTACAATTCTCTACTGTATTCTGAAGATGTGGATTCACATATCTCTACCCCTCCCCATAATATTTTTCTAGTTCCACGTCCATGTGTTAAATGCACATTCATTTTTTTTCCAAAAGACAAAACAAAACAGATTAAACAAAAAATTCACCCCAATAATAGGTTTTTTCAGCCTTTTTTTCACTAGGAACAAAGAGGGCAAAAAAAAAAATTCTTGGCTTTCAATTGTTCCTAGTGAAAAAAAGGCTGAAAAAACCTATTATTGGGGTGAATTTTTTGTTTAATCTGTTTTGTTTTGTTTTTTCCCTCTTTGCTAGCATCTTTACCATTCCCTCCCCCTACCCTTTGCTGTAGCAAGTAAAGAGTTGATGTCCAGACATGGTATCCCTAGTATTTTGGTAGTATTTTAGTAGACATGCTATCTACTGAGGTAAGTTAAATGGAACCCTTGTTTCCACTGGGCCCTCAATGGAAGATGCACCAAAGATAGCTGACTGGCCTCTTCCTTTTCTCCTAAATCTGTTTGCTACTAAGTTGTCTGTCTGCTATTCCGAGTCTTTGGTGGAGGCTCAGTGGTCTCCCTGACTGTCAATGAGCTCTTTTTAGTTGTTTCTTTGTTAGTGCCTTCTTCTGGTTGCTTCTCCCTCCTCAGTTTCCATCAGTAAAGCCAACCACAAGGGCATCCAGCCAATTTATCTACCCTGGCTCAGCCAACTCTTATTGCAGTTCTCACAAATCTGAGGAAAAGCCTCATTGGGTTAGGAAAAGATCTCAGAATTCCTGGAAAAAGGGGACTCTTAAATTCTGGCATTCTCTTCCTTTTATTAGAGATGTTATTTCTTTGTACTAATCACTTAGGACCTTCTCCATCAATCTGCTTTCCATGTTCAGGTTTCATTATTTTCCATCACTTGGAATAGGCCTTTCTTCAACTTTTCTCAACATACTCCAGTATTACTGAAGTCTATTATGATGTATCTGGGATTGAAAAATTAATAAATTGCATTTGTTAAATGAATGCGAGGGATGTGGCTTAATCATTTGTAGGAGAATTGTAAGTTTTCTGCTGAGTTTAATTGGGTAAATCAGATCGTAAAATGATAATGCTATGTGACTACATCTAGCACTGCTCGTTAATTGGCCTCCCCCAAGACATAGCAGCATTTCTCCTCCTGGCATCTCTCACAAGATAGCAACTAGTCAGCAGAGAAGAAAGGAAGGGTAGGAAAGTGGTTAAGAGCATGGTCTCTGATGCTGGACAGCCTGGGTTTGACTTTCAGCTCTAGCACTTACTAGCTGTGTGACTTTGGGCAAGTTGCTTGATCTCTCCATGCTGTTATCTGTAAAATGAGGAGGAGCTTAGTAATTGTGCCTACCTACTCATTTCATAGGCTTGTTGAAAATTAAGTGAGCTAATACAGTGAAACCTGTGAGAGCTGGAACTTGATGAGACTGTCTTGCTTTTCTGGGTCTTGCAAGTTTTCCGCCTTTTACAGGGTGTGGTCTTAACCACTTTCCTATCGCTCTCTATTAGTGGAAAATATTTGAGTTTTCCTTCTCTGACAGGTTTCTGCCTTACACAAGTTCTGGCTTTTGCAAGTTTTTCTATATATGCAAAACATCTAGAGAGCAGCTGGAATAGTAAGACTATATAAATGTTTGCTATATGATTATGTATTGCTTGGGTTGCAGTGACTGATTCAAAGCAAAAAATGAGGTGAGTTATCATGGATTGAATTGTGTCCTCCCCAAATGTGTCAACTTGGTTAGGCCATGATTCCCAGTATTGTGTGGTTATCTTCCATTTTCGTGATTGTAATTTTGTGTTAAAGAGGATTAGAGTGGGATTATAACACCCTTACTAAGGTCGCATCCCTGATCCAGTGTAAAGGGAGTTTCCCTGGGGTGTGGCCTGCACCACCTTTTATCTTACAAGAGTGGGGGTGGGGGGTGAGGGGGACCTCATACCACCAAGAAAGCAGTGCTGGGAGCAAAGCGTGTCCTTTGGACCTTGGGTTCCTGCGTGGAGAAGCTCCTAGTCCGGGGAAGATCGATCACAAGGACCTTCCTCCAGAGCTGACAGAGAAAGCCTTCCCCTGGAGCTGATGCCCTAAATTTGGACTTGTAGCCTTCTAAACTGTGAGAGAATAAATTTCTCTTTGTTCAAGCCATCCACTTGTGGTATTTCTCCTATAGCAGCACTAGATAACTAAAACATGAGTATACGCATTTTGCATTGACTTCAAGGACAATGGCATAGCCCTGAAATACTTCTTCCAGGAATATATTCAAACCTGGGAACCTATTTAAGAAAGCAATAACTTCTCTGGGTCAGTCAGGACATTTTCTCTTTGAACATCCCTAAAATTAATGAATCCTCATTAATCACCAATAATTACTAAGAGGAGCCAAAGATGTTGAAATGGCTATATCTGAAGTCTTGTGATGACCTACACTTTCCTGACGTATTTCTATTCATTTGCAAATTAAGAATCCTTTTTATTTGGGGCGGGAGCAAAGTTATAATTATATTTCCAGGCTACATGGAAATTTTTATATTATATATAATTATAAATCTTAATTTTTTTTCAAGTCACTACCTCTATATAGTCGACAGAGATCTTGGAAAACTCAAAGGTTGAGATTAAAGCTACACGAATGCCTTTTTAAGGCAAATTGGTAGAAATTTCAGTTAGAGCAGTTTTTACAAATGGCATTGACTTATATGTTTACCGACCTAAGGATTTCTATATTGGTTTGGTTAAAAATTCCAAGTAAGTTGTTTTTTCCAGCAATCTTTTAAAGTAGGATCAATGCCACCTGCAGGTAATAAATAACTTCAGATACCAATAAGCCAAACAAAATAAGAATGTTTTATTAGTACAGATTGCTGTCAACGATGCTTCAAAAAGGGTACAGTTGTTTATGGCAGGCTCTACAATGCAATGAATGAAAGAGAACTGGGTCAACATTTTTTCCAATTCACCTTTCCAGGTATTGGGTGAGAGAGTGCAAACACATAAAAGATTCAGCCTCTCTAAGTGTTGATACTCAGCTTCAAGACTGCACCAGTCAGGATTTCATTAATATTAGGTAATGTGCATAAATTCAGAATATAGGAACAGAAACTTGTGTTCTATTTTTTAAATTTGTCCACCCTCCTCCAATAAAACTATAAAAGGCTTCCGCAGAGTATCTCGTTTTGAGTGTATTAATTGTATAAATTAGTTTTAGGTGACAGCGACATTGTATAATCATTACATTTTGGCTACATCTAGCAAGCTTTCTTGTTGTCATTTAACTGCTCATGCCTAATGATTAAATTATCATTCTTTCTTTTGTCCTTAGATAAGATAGAAAAAACATTTATTTCTCTTCTCCACACAATTAATTGATTTGCATAATGCCTCATGATGCTTCTTTCAGATTCCCACTTGTTTACCACATACTGCTGCAAACATGCCAACAAACTGTCGCTATTGAAAAAAAAAACTGAATTCCCACAATCAGTCCATCTGATAATGTTGTCAGGCAGCCAGATGCCCCAGAGAAACAAGATACAGTTTTGTTATTTCTGTTTTTTTGATCCAATGACTTACCCACAATGACAGCAGTGACCGTGAGGAGCACAAAAGCATTCCGAAACAGGTAATTTTTAACATCCTCCTTTGTGATGTTCTGCACTTTCTTCTTGGCCAAGAGCGTGCGTTTGCGGACTCCTCTCTGCAACCTCTCCATCCTTCCCCCGATCCTGGGCTCTTCTCCATTGCTTTTAGTCATATTTTACTGCTCTGGGAGGGTCTCTTCTTTGTATTTCAGTGTCTCGGAATCACCCCCAGAAAGTCAAAGCTCCTCTTTGGTGTTAGAGAACACAACTAGAATGGGAGAGAAAGAGAGGAGCTTTACAGCCTGTAGGGTGAGGAATTCACGCTGCTCCACATCAAGCAAGTTGTTGGTAAATTGCATGATCTCAGCAGGAATCATGGACTAGAAAGTGGCAATGTCAAGTTTCAAGGCTACAATGTACATATTTTACTGGACCACGTGTGAGAAATGTGCATAAATTCAGAATATATGAACAGAAACTTGTGTTCTGTTTTTAAAATAAAGCTATAAAATGCATTCCCAGAGCTGAGTGTGACTGAGCACCCCCTACGCATATCCCCAGAACCCAGCCTTGGACGTGCAATGAATGTCCAATTGAAGTAAACGTACAGGAAGAGCTCAATAATTGCTTGATGACTTATGTTATATACATGGTGAAGGTATAACCATGTCAATAAAATGTATTATGATATTTGGCAGTTGAGGCCTTTCTATTATATAAAATAAAGTGTCTATTTTCTTCATTAAAAAAACTAGATAATATAAATTACACACACACAAGTGCCCTTAACACATGGGAAATATATTTGATTATTTTACGGGGTGAGTTTTTAATTTTTTCCACAAAATAAGCAAAGTGCTTTGAGTTAAAAAAAAAAAAAAAATCCAAACGCGTTGCCGTGGAGTCAATTCTGACTCATAGCGACCCCATAGTGCTTTGGGTACATATGTAAATTATCAAAAATCATAATTCATTTTCATTTTTTATTACAAGTAGAAGTACAAAGTAGCATCTGTCTTGATGGCAAATATGCTGGAGTCTTCTGAGGACTCTACCGCTAACTTCAAAGTATTTTAGAATTTTGGATTTCTAGAGCAGATGAGATGAATGCAACTTTCATTCCGAACATTACAGGGCATGGTTTCTCGTTTCTTTAAAGTGCTCTTAGGTTATTCAAATACATCTAAGCAAATCTTTTTCCTTAGTGGAAATCAGCGTCTGAAGAAGCCAGGGGATTCCTCCCGCTGCTTTACAAGATTTCTAATTCACAGTCTTCCCCTTTATCAATCTGAGTGAAAAGCAGGCGCGCCTGTGGACGTGTGTATCTGGCAACGCCAGCAGCCAGCGTGTGCGTCCGTGGGGGGAGGTAACTGGAAACCCACGGACTCCTCGGAAGCGTTTGGCAACTCCAAGTGTAGAAAAAGGGACTCGTCTTAACAGTTTTGACTTTTTAAGTAAAATTACAGGTTGTGGTCGGTTATAATAAGACCTCCAACTTGTTTAAGACTTCACACCAGATTAAAAGCTTAGCGAGACGTGAAGGGTAGAAGGGAGAGAACAGATTTGTATGAAGCTCTCTCTAATTTCCTTTACCAGTCACTTTTAAACACATCAGCTCAGCCTTGATTCTTCTTGAGATCTCTAACCACAATCTGACCCCGATTCACCCTGAATTGCTCAACTCCAAATTAAGAGAGGACCCGACATAACTCGACACCACATGCTGACTACATTAAATTACTAACCGGGACTTGATCTACCAAAATGGCTAGCTTTTACTCTCGCTACTTCTCTGCCTGGGAAACAAAATAATACATTGGCAAAAAAATGGAAGGGGAAATTAAACTCAGCAGGAATAGAGGACGCTACACTTACCTTTTCGGATTTTGTAACGGGTGGAAGAAACCCCAGGCAAATGACAAGGTGAATTCCCCAGCAGGTACGACGGAGTGACTAAACGCAGTGAGAGAGCAGCCTAGCTCTGACAATATGCATGTGCTCGGAAACTGCAAGTTACTATCAGGGCAACTTAAGAAAAGGGGAGGAGTCTGTGCTGGGCCAAGGGAGAGTGGGGAAAAGGAAAACACCACGGGAAAGGAGGGGGAGTCCTGAGGTTTCTGGAATATTGATTAATCTTGGCACACTCGAACATACTTGCTGGCTTTGTTTTACTGCTTAGACCACTTTCACGCTTTGTCAGTTCACGTTCATTAGAAATGCAAAAGCGGGTCCAGGAAGAATTGAAGAATAAAACACGCACACTTGGAAAAGCTGCAAGTCTTGATTAGAACGTTTCAAAGTAGACTTTTCTAAGGCTAAATTTAATTATCTCACTTTATTGCAGGTTTCCTCCCCTTAAAGAAACACGACAGTGTGTGCTCTTTTGCCCGGTTGTACAACTGTTATGAAAGAGTCCCTCTTTTTAGATCTGGGGAAATAACTGACATTTCTTGGGAAGACACAGAACGCAATCAAGTATGGAGAAAAAAAAAAAAAAGCTTACTACAATTCTCTTAACTTTGCCTAAAGTTACTCGAAACGCAGGATGAGACATGCCTCTATTTTAGCAATTTCAACGTCCTTACAACAAATCTGATTTAGCTCAAACTGCCTGCATTGCAAAGGTAAGAAATACAAAGAGAGCAGGACTTTGCTAAACTATAAAGAGCATTTTAGGACCAAAAGTACAAATGCATCCGTGAAGTTTTGTGGTTTCAACAGATCAGTTACTGTTCAGATCCCTCGATTTTGAAAGACGCTAAGTTGTCGTGTGTCCCCCCCCCACCACCATTTTTCGGAGTTAGAAAATTCTCATTGCCTTGAAAATACATATGACTCGTACCTCTAGTCCATTTTCCTTAAAAGGAAAATAATTTTAAAAAGTTAAAATTATTTAAGCCTGTCCCACTTCCAACACATAAGACTCGCCTAGCAAAAGAAGAAAAGAATTCAATAGAAACAAAAACTCACACCCAAAATCACAGCCAGAGTTCTGTATTCTTGTTCATTAAATCTCATATTCCCCATGCAAAACCTGCCCAATTCTTATGTCTGTCTGTTATCCCACAAGGAAATGTGTCTTTATCCCCCATTAGCAAATCCAGGGAGAATATAACGACATGTCTCCTGCCAGCTTCAACTCCTCCCCATATGTCCTTTCGAACATCTACTTGTTGGAAAGCAGTGACAAACTACGTAAATGCTTTAAAATTACACATTAGCACAAGTTATAACAACTTTCTGATTTGGCATCATTCTAAGATTTTATTGAAAATACATACTTTTGACAGCCTCAGTCTTCAGTCATCTTTCCTTTCCTCTGACATCCTGTGTCACTTAGTATCTGTACCACATGGTTTAATAATTATACTCTGTCTTGCATAGCTTACCTTTTAAAATTATGATGAGTTTTGGCTTTTCAACTAAATTGTAAGTTCTTTGAGGGCAAGAACCTGTCTTACGCCTGATACATAATAAACATTGAATAACCTTTATAAATGGATGACATAATATAAAGGTGTGAAACAAAATAGAGAGTCAACAGAAAAGTAGAAGACCCTCAACAAGATGGATTGACACAATGGCCGCAACAACAGGCTCAGCACTTTGTTCTTTTGCACATAGGGTCGCTGAGTCGGAAATGACTCCATGGCCCCTAACAACAACGTGAAATAAAATGCTTTTCAACCTTCTGTGTTTAAACACAGACTACCTGTTTTTCTGTTAGCGTCCCTGGCCTAGGTGCACGGAGCACCTCTCATTTCTCAATACCATGACTACTTCTTAAAGCATTTATTTACTACGTCAGCTCCCATCTCACCCATGGGTTTAGGACTAACTTGTCCACATTCCTTGTGGAAGTGACTTGTATTTCGAAAGAACTTTAAAGAGAAATCTGATGATTTTAAGTGGAGTTTCAAGCTTAGTAGCCTTTTCGTTTTTATTCTTTTTTTCCCCATAGGCAAAAAAACACAAAAAAAACAAAGGGGGAGGGGTTGCTGGAAAACCACATTTTGACTAGCATAGAGATTAGAAGGTCCTCATGCCCCCTTTCTTGTTTCTTTTTTTAACTTTACTCCCTAAAGCTTAGTGAAAACCATATCATTATTTTAGTTTGCGCAGACTTTATGGGACTCTGGTTTACCCTGGAGAAGGGAAATAATTCCCCACTGGAAGTTTTGTTGGCTGTAATAAAACCTAATGAGAAAATGAGTTGCAAAGAGTCTCAGTTCAGAGTTACCCGAATTACGAGGTTTTAGTCTGGGGGAAATATTGGGAATTACTTCTTTAAGCACTACTTTCTCTTTTGGAAAGCTATAGTAATAATGCCTTGGGGGCAACCTGGGTTTACTCAACACATGTCTACCTTTTCCTCTTTCTTTATAAGTATGCCCCTTGAGCTTTAAAACATTTGTTTCCCCGTCTTAGAGACACCATAAAAGAAAGATCAAGAAATTATGAACAAGTCTCTATATGTTGTATTTCATTTAAAGTAACTTGATGGTAGGGGGCACAGAACCAGGGAATCATATTAATTTTAATATTCCAGAATGGAAAAAAAAATGTAACAAATACTGCTCCTTTTGAAAAATCTGCCAGGATTTTTCTTTGGACATTCTATTATTAAGTATATTGTAGGTAAATTCTTTGTTTTGGATAAAAATGTCACTACAAAAAAAACAGAGTCCCTGGATGGTGCCAACGGTTAATGCACTCGACTGCTAACTGAAAGGTTGGAGGTTCCACCCAGAGGTACCTCAGAAGAAAGGCCTGGCATCTACTTCCAAGAAATCAGCCATTGAAAACCCTATGGAGCACAGTTCTACTCTGACATGCATGGGGTCACCATGAGTCAGAGTTGACTTGACAACAACTGGTACTGGTATAACAAGAAACAACTAAATCCAACCCATTCTTAAATGGAACATCCTCATTAATTGGTTTTAAATATGAGAGATCATTATAATAAGCAAGTGCTGATGTTAACATAGCACAAAAACAGTACATTTCAGCATTCAAGATTAGAGAATTCTGATTAACTGGATTTTTTTAAAAGAAGAAGCTTCATTAGAAAACGTTTTAATATTTATTGAATATTTTCAACTTTTATTTTTAATTTCATGAGGAAGTTTATCAATCCTTGTTCAAATAACTCATACTTCAGGATCATAAGGAATATCAACTCTCCCACAATTTGGAAAGCGTAGGATGTTAAGACAATAAATAGGACCTAACTTGATACAAAGGTATAGTAGAGGAAGTACTAGAGGTAGTAGCAGTAGAAGTAGCAGTTGTGGTAGTAGGTCTTTCATTTGTCTTAACGATTTTCCTGAAGTTTGAATGCAAAAGCAAAACAACAACAATAACAACAACAACAAAAAAATCCAGTGGTGAATTCTGGTCACTTGGAGTTTAACAGACTAGGTTTTATTTTAAACGTATATGAAACCTGAAAAATCCAGCTGCAGAGAGGTGTGCTATAATCATTATTAACTTTTATAACATTTGTTCATTCATTCAACAAACACAAAGCAGTGAATCCCTTTCCTCAAGGAGCTCATAAACACACAGCTGTAATTATTATGTAGTAGTATATGGGAGGGCACCACAAGTTATGGGAACTGTGTGTGTTGAGGTCTGTGTACCAGTTAGTCTCTGCCATGAACTGAATTGTGTCCCCCAAAAGTATCTGTCATCTATACCATGATTCCCAGTATCCCGTGATTGTCCATTTTGTCATCTGATGTGATTTTCCTATATGTTGTAAATCCTACCTCTATGATGTTAATGAGGTGTGATAGATGGCAGTTATGTTAATGAGGCAGGACTCAATCTACAAGACTGGGTAGTGTCTGGAGCCAATCTTGTTTTGAGATACAGAAGAGAGAAGCATGCAGAGAAACAGGAGGACCTCATACCACCAAGAAAGCAGCACCAGGAGCTGAGTGTGTCCTTTGGACCTGGGGTTCCTGCGAGGAGAAGTTCCTAGACAAGGGGAAGATTGATGACAAGGACCTTCCCCCAGAGCCGACAGAGAGAGAAAGCCTTCCCTGGAGCTGATGCCCTGAATTTGGACTTGTAGCCTACTAGACTGTGATAGAATAAATTTCTCTTTGTTAAAGCCATCCACTTGTATTTCTGTTATAGCAGCACTGGATGACTAAGACAGTCTCCCAATGAGACTGAGAGCTTCTTAAAGGAAGAAGCTATGCCTGGGCCACCATTGTATACACGGTATCTAGCATGATGCCCTCACACAGCAGGCATAGTATGGCATGGCAGGGAGGGATTAGGGGGTCTAATGATGAAGTCAGCATCGAACACCTAAAGCACTAAATTAAAGAAATTGAACCCTACTCCTAGGCAATGGGGAGTCACAAGATTTAAACACAGAAGTGATTTTAATTTTATATAGATGCAAGTATGAATTATGCCTGAATATAAAGACAGTGAAGACCCTCACAGCTGGACCAATAAACAACATCATGATAAATGGAGAAAAAAATTGAAGTTGTCAATGATTTCATTCTAACTGGATCAACAATCAATGTCCATGGAAGCAGCAGTCAAGAAAACAAATGATGTATTGCACTGGACAAATTTGGTGCAAAAGATCTTTTAAAGTTTTAAAAAACAAAGATGTCATTTTGACAACTAAGCTGTGCCTGACCCAAGCCATGGTCTTTTCAATAGCCTCATATGCATGTAAAAGCTGAGCAACTAAAAAGAAAGAAGAATCGATGCATTTGAATTGCAGTATTGGCAAAGAATATTAAATATACAGCAGACTGCCAGAAGAAGGCACAAATCAGCCTTAGAAGAAATACAACCAGAATGCCTCTTAGAAGTGAGGATGGCAAGACTTTGTCTCACTTA